TTAACAATTAGAGTCTTGTTTCGTTTGTTGCGTGAAACAAAGTAAAATAAGTAATGAAACGAGAAATATTTCTACGAACTGTTAGTAGCTATAAGTTAAAAGTTGATAATTAATAATTCAGATAGCGAATTTAATGCATCAATCTTCTATATTCTAAAACCAAAATTCAATTAAACAAAACAGTGAACTTAATAAATTAAGTAAAAACAGCTCAATAAACAAACAAAAAAATTAAGGGTTTAAAGCGTACAGCATTTAAAACATAATAAAAACTGCCAGCGTGGGTGAATTGCAGTTTGAGGACGCGAATTGATTTACTGCTTTGGCGACGCTGTCGCGGTCGCCAAGGGCCAAAGTCGCTTGTAGTCGCAAAGGCTTAGTCTCGGCGGACGTTCGGCCAATTGCGGGCAATAATTGAAAAGGGAATTTAAGTCTTCCCTACTATTTCAGGGTACTATTTTACGGGCTCGGTTCTTTTCGTTAATTATATTTTATCCTATAAATTCAGTACCAACTCAATGTTAAATAAAAGTATTTAACTGTTGCGTGGGCCTACCACAGTTAATGATAACATAAAACATGTTAATAAGAAATCATAAATTGAAAGTTAATGATTATAAATTACTCTTAATTTGACACATAGAATGATTAAATTATAAGTTATCTTTCCAATTGTGAACTACACCCAATGGTGTAGTTCACACGAATTTCTATACGCTCGCCTTAATAAGCGAAATAATTTCTAAGCTCGAAAGTTCTAGATTGAATTATCTTACATAAATAAGTTAAATAATGGTTGTAGCGGTTGCTTAGAGGTTGTTTTGTCATAATTTTGATCAAAATAAAAGTACAAAACAAAGTTTAAGTACTACTAAAATACTAAGGCTTCCTTAGATATATTTAGCGACGTGTTTCCAAGTTTGGATTGTGATGTTTTTGTAGATAAATGTGCAAAAACTTTCAGTGCTGCGGCGTTCGAATCCGCGACTTCCCTGTAACGTCAGAATGTCGACGACTAAGTTTCATTTGAAGTGCAGAGACTAGCGCTAAAACTAAAACTAATCATAAAATTCCAAGTATGCTTTATGACGACACATACATACATGCAGGTAAAAAAAAACTTATAAATTAAAAAATAGAATAAAAAGAAACGTTAGATTTAATGTAGAACGGAATGAAAGATGAGGAAAGAAGATAGAACGATATATGTGAATAAGCAGGGAGAACGACGATGACGAAATGGTGGATAGTTATAGTTTTTAAGAAGCACAGACGAAAATTTGTAGAATGAGTGAAACAGACGTGAATTACAAGAATAAGTGTTTACGTCTCAAACCTATATCCTGCATAGATATCCTTTGCTTGTTAGATGTAAAGTTTAACGTCAGAAAGTCGCGAGGTAGCCGAGTGAAGTGAACGCTTAAACCTTACACAGATTCTCGGGTTAAACTTTACTGTAAATACCGATGCACTTTGTACACGTGTTTGAAGAGTCCTTGCATACCTATGATAGTGATATAATTATGTAATACAATACATTACTATTATGTACCAGTCTTAAGATTCCTAACTGTAAAGTTCGCCGACTTATAGTTGCTTAATTAATTTTAACCTTAATTTATATTATAAATACAATTTATAAAAGTTATTATTAGTAAGCACATATAATTATTAAATTCCTTTAGTATACGTATCCCTTAAATGGTTTAACTTTAAAATACTTGTTTAACTATAAAAATAAACACAAACGAATTCGAAGTAATAAAAACTATGTAATGACTAAGAAAGTTTCGAACCACCCAAGGAAGTCCGCATTTCCTTAACTGCACTTAATTTTTAATTTATCTTTTTAAGCCAACACCAAACGCCGGATCCAGCGTTCTTCCTAAAGCTGGCCGTATAGCACTAAATAATTAATGGGAGATCCTGCGGCTTTGAAAAGTGGAGCCGGCAAACGCTGCCGATGTTATTATTAAGAGAATAAAGAAATAGTTTAGAGGAAATTGTTGCGAAACGGCAAAGGGTCTCTTGAATTATCTAAATATTTCTTTTGTTATTCTGATTCATATTGTTCGAGCATTCAGCGGAAATGAGCCTTTATTGACATTGTGTCGTTTCCCTGTTGTTTTAAGCCTCGGTGGCGTTTTGTATTCATCTATGAATAATTATCAAATTTATTCTACATTATAAAGTATTTGAAATTGCCAAATTGGTCAAATTTATACCGCAATGCTTTCAGTACATAAAGGTATTTTTTCAATATTTAGAAATACTAACTAAATAACACTTTATCTTACTAATCTAGCCCTCGCGGCATAATGCCAAGAACACAAATATATATATATATATATATATATATATATTATCGGCAATTGAAACGCTTTTTCCGAGAAAACCACCGAGAGACAACTAGTGTCTGGCAAGGCACAGTGCATTAACCGTGACACGTCAGATATCCGCTGAAGGAAACAGCCGGCCTATTGCGAGTGGGCTGGACGCTTCCAACCCCCTCCACCACCCCTCGACCGACGGCCACTGCAAACCACCCCCCGACCTCCATTTGGGGTGCAAGCCTCGCAGAGCCCGAGTATCTGATTTCTTTATACTTAAGTTGAATATCTCTTTCAAGGAATACGAGTAGAGGATATCGTAATAATGACAAACTATTCATCATACTTCCTTGATTGTATTTTGAGTTTATCGTTTTTGTATACATTACTCCGCATAGTTATTTCAGTATTTAAAAGACTAACAATACTTCTACTTCTATCAGGTTTAGGCCAGACGATGGATAATTTTAATTTTTTTATGAATCTAGTTGAAATCCGATGTTAAATTGCAATTGCGTTATATCTTTATAGCGTGAAATTACTTTTGGCATATGTATTACCGATCGTTATTTCAAATATTTTCCACATAAAAAAATCCGGCTAACGCGGTCGTTCAACGTATGTGGACGTTTATTTCCATTTAAATGTTGCAGCAACATGCCGCCATTCTGTCGGTGCAGGGTTGTCAAAAATTTATCAGACATGGTCATTGAAAACTGTCATAGGTTCTTGGTGTCATTTTCACGATACAATGTTTTGTCTTTTTCAACCGACTTTTATATGTACATATGTGACGTCCGGGATTTTGAATAGAGTTTGTTGCCTTACTTAGTTTGCGAGTCGTTATTATCGTATCTACTTGAATGAGCCAACGCTGGACACTTTAGCAATTTGAGAGCGCGTCCGTTGTTAGCATGGTAGTACGATCAGCCGATGTGACCATACAGAAATGTACACAAGCTTTCAATTTCCTGCGGAACAGGCCCGTGAAAGGAAGCTCGAGGGGACCTCAATTTGCATAACCTTTTGAAACGGTGTCATTATGTTCACGCCGAGAGGTTGCGACGGCCGTGTACAGAGGGCATACAGACCAGTAAATAAACGCCTTTTCAGTCTATCCGATAAATATTTTCAAAGGTTTATCGCATTGAAAATATCGACATCAATGGATAAAGTCTAAAAATACATTTGTAAAAACTTTTTGTATGAATATATGGCTTTTCAGGTGATGTTTACTGGTGATCTCCTCCCATGGAAATCTTTGGGCTTGTAGATGTCAATCTTCAATGAAATGGACACTGGTTACCTTACTTACCTGATCATACTAAACTAATCGTATGACGAATAACGAATAACAGAAAGTAGATCAGGAATCAAACCCTAGATGAAATTGAAGTATGATCTGTACCGATTGAAAAGAGTATAGTAAGTTACTAGCCTACATATATACATGACATTCAGGGATTGGCAGACTTCACACCGTTAAGTCATATTTTTTGTTGTTATTTACAACATATGCACGTTTTCCCACAATTTTATTTTTTTCTTCACCGTTGAGAACGTGATAATTCAGCAGTTAACATTAACAATTTCATTGGTGCTCATAATTCAGCAGTTAAAATTAACAATTTCATTGGTGCCGCCACCGGAATTTGAACTCAGGTAGCTTGACTTAATTGAATTAAAACGAGCACCAGGATACTGAGCTACCGCTGTACCGGTTAGTTACGATAAACAAAAAATGTCGAATCATATTAAGGGTACTCAAAAGATACGACCCTAAAGTTACCAATACTGTTATTAGTAGTCCCCGTTTAAAAATTCGGACTTTATATATCAAATTCATAAAATATGACAATTCATTGAAGATGGCAACCCTAAGACGGCAGCGGCTATGGCCGCAATGAAGGCATCAATCACTTCGCGTGGCGCGAGGAAAGCCACCGCTTATCAGGCTGGCCCTATTTGCCCGCCTACTTATAAGTAATTTCCGTACAATCGATTCGTTCCTTTGCGGCGGACGCTGTTAATGGGGGCGCGGTGTGGGAGGGTTTTCGGAGGTCGCAAGTTGTATCTCGGCTATCGTACTTTGGTGGTGAAAAGGTTAAAGTGGAAATATCGGACGTTTGCAGATTTAACTCGTGTTCAGCAGTAAAGAGACACTTCGTCAGGGGACCGGTAGTCGTAATCGAAAGTTTTCGGTTGCGTAACCGAACAGCTCATCGTTGTCATTTTATGCACATGCCACTTGCGTGCATTTAGTATGCCTAATTTAATAAATTAAATATAATTAGTTCGCATAAGATCGTAAGTTATCACCTGATATGGGCGCCTTATAGAAACCCCGATGATATTGCTATATCATACGAATTAACAATAAACAATTTATATTGCTATATCATACGAAGATTCATACGTTCTTTTTGTTATATTTTTTTTTATGTATAATTGCATTAAAAAAAATATAACAAAAAGAACAAGACCGCAGAGTTTCTTGCCGGTTCTTCTATGTGCAGGTCTAGTTTAGTGAACCAGTGGTAAATTTTTTGTTGACGTTCAATAAGAGCTTAAGTTAGGCCTATATTGAATAAATATACTTTGACTTTGACTTAGAAGAAAGGTCATTTATGCTTAGATGTTATATCCTTATACATATATCTGTATAAGTCAGACGTTGATCGGTTCCGCACTCTGCGCTGCTGTTTCTTTGAAGCACACAAGCTGGATTAACTCGTACTTCATCTCGTCGTATGTAAAGCGCAAAGGGTGGAAATACAGTATTTCAATCGGTCGAACCTCACCGTCGACCTTCCACTGGCAAGCTGCAAAGGGGCGCCGAATAAAGTCGTCACTCATTAAAACTTTTCAGCGCTTAATGAAAATGTTATTGAGCCCTGGCTTCGAGTGCATCTGGGGGCCGGACCAGGCCCGCTCTTAGGGGGCCATAGGGGGGGGGGGGGGGAGTGGATCTGAAATGGCCCGGCTAAGTGTATTACAGTCGGATCGCTGCCTTTGATTCGTTACATCAAAGAAGATCCAGTTCACTCGTCGCTAAATCGAATAAGAACCGCTTTGTTTCCGACTACGGTAGGTAAATTTGTAAAGGGGGCATCTTCTCAAGGAATAGATTTGGCCCTCCTCAATGGGTTGCTGGGACGCGAACTACCGTCCGCTACTTGGGAAGGTGTGTCTCTTATGTGGCTTATATTTTTCTTATGATGATATTTTTTTTTCAAGAGCAAGTATACCAGTTTCTATAGTATATAGTAAGTTATTGTCGACAGTGGGCAATCACAGCACTACCTAACAGACGATACAGAACTACGTAATCATTCATAATTAATGATGGTCTTCTTTGAGGTAGTGTTGTTACGAAATTCTTCAAATATGGAACAGTGTTACTGGTTGTGTAGGCCCATCTACTCAGCAGGGGCACTAGCCCAAGGAGGGATGAGACCAAAACGGCCAAAACAGTCGTGCGAGCCGATTTATCGCGCAAGATTATTTTCAAAGTTCCCATCCTACGTTTCACGCGGCGCCGACGGCTAAAGATAGACCGACGCTATTACTGTTGCCTCATTCAGGGATGATATTTAATCCGCGGAACAAACCGCTCCCCATTCCCTCTTCATAACGCGCCGCCGAAAGATTAACCCCGAAACCGTTTATTACAGCGGCCGCGCACCGAATCGCCGGCAATAAAACAGGCGGGCGGGCTAACTCCGCAGTTCTGGCACCGCAGCCCGGATAAAAACTAAACCGATATACTTCTTAAAATTACCGCCGTGCCCGCTTATGCAAGCGAACGTGACCCGTTGAGCTTTTGGCAAGCGGCCGAAGCTAAGACGCGGCCCCGCGTCGATACTGGCTTCAGGCATTGGCCACTGTATTTTTAACCGGGCTGGATGGGAATTTCGAGTGCGAGATGGTTGCATAACCCTCCGAAGTAGTTAACAGTCAATTAGATTTTTACTTATGAACTGCGTCAATGCATATTAGTTGAGATATTAAACGGGTGCTTTCAGTTACTTAAATAATATGCTATATTACATAAAGCACTCACGTTTTTAACATCTAATGTGGAAGACGCTCTCCATCGGGCAGGTAACTTTTAACGAGGTTATTATTAAGTTAAAAAAACGTGTCTGTGATTCATGCATAGATATACAATGAGCTAATTTGACGTGGCAAAGACTGTTTCAAAAAAAGTAGACAACACAAGTAAAGTGTGTCGTGTAAGTGTATCGAAGTCATGACGTGGATTGCGACTCGACCAGAAATAATAATTTTATTTGCATTTCGAACGTACCTCATTACGTCTGCCGCATTAGCGCTTCCCGTCGAGCATTCGATATCTCGACTCGATCACCGCTTTCGGTATCCCTCATCCGATTAAGCTGGAGACAGGCTTCCATTTTCGAATTTGGTTGCCGTCCAAATCGGGACGCCGGCCCTCGCCCGATCGGTAAGCGGTCCACGTAGCTGGGAGCGCGCCAGCTCCGCACCGATTGAAGAAACAATTGGGGGTCCACCGTCGACGGACGTGGACGTCGGATGCGGGAGACGCGGGATTTCGGGGCGCTTTATTAATGTAATCCGCTGGGGATTCTATCAAGAATGACAGAAGCAGATGATCTTAGGATTTTTAATGACTTATTGGAAGTTATAGGTTTTTACTCTTCATCAGGTGGGATCGCAGTCAAGCGCTAGCCGATTTCGAATAGAAAAAGTTGGATAATTATCTATTTAATGTTTATTATAATTTAATATTGCTTTGAATGGTAGTAGATTAAGAAATTATGATGATTTGTACGGGATTGGGTAGTAAGTTACAATGACCACTGCGACCTACAAGATCTGTTGTAGTCTTCCCTTAGAAAATACAATCCTGAGTTTTAAAGACTTTTTACTTAGTAGAGAAACACCCAAATCCGACTATTATCCGAAAATTTTATCTCTGATTAACACAAATAGTTGTTCCGTGTGCCCCCCACGGCCCCCGGCGTCGAAGCGAATTCCTTGGCAGCCACGCCACGGAGTCATCAAATAGCCTAGCATAAATACGTTATTTGATAGATTGAAATATAATTATGATCATGTCACAAGACCCGCATTAGAATCCAATGAAGTTGGTGAAATGTATAGCCGAGTATGGCCCTTATTTATTATTTGCAGCTATAGCTTATCCTGTTTTTGTTGCTTGCATTGTCATTATACATGTATTTTTTTGAATGCGACAATGAAAATGATCGAAAGCATGCATACTTCCAGGATAGATAATATAAAGCTTAATTATATTAATATAAAGCTCTCGTCTGGCATTAAGATGTAATTAGTCGTTATGAAAACCATACAGTAAAAGTAAAATTTATACCTTGTTTATTTACATATTCACTCAGCTAATGTTACCGGGATGAAGTGTCGAAAGCTCTGGTTAGTCCTTTATGCTAATAATGATATCGATCGGTTAATGGTGCGAAACTGCTGATGTTTGAGTGGCACCGTGCCGTTGGAAATTATGAGATCACTCCAGTTACCTAATATTAGGATCCCCATTGAGCCAGGCAAGTATTCGCTGATATAGGCCCTATGCCTAAGCGCTACGGTCTAAAGGTACGCGTAGAGTTGATAGCAGGAGCACGGCAAGCCTCGAGGATCAAGTGTAATCCGATATGTTTAGCATATTTCTTAATATCCGACATAATTATGTAGGTTAATGGAAATACTCGAGTATTTATATTGACTTAAGCTTGCAACACGCAATATGTGGGTATAGTAAAAAATGAACGTAACTTATTTGTAACTGGAATGAAAGTCACTACTACTTGTGATTTATTTGACCCGAATGACACCCTGTTTAACTAATATATAATATCATTTGGCGAATGTTATAGCGTTTTTGCCTTTAACTCCTTAGTTTTTTATTTTATTAGTTTACGAGACGATAGCACTCGAACGTAATAGACAGAAAAATTATGAAGAAATTTTCTCTACATATATATCATCAGAAGTCCTTCTCTGACTGGCCTTAGTAACATGCAATGTTAGCATCAACATAGGAAATTACTGAATAAAAAATATGTGTACGCACGTAAAAAGTTATACGTGTTTAGCGTAAAGAATGAAAACTAACCTAGATAAAACCTCCACTCTCGTGCCAGTACTCTTTGTTTGTGAAAAAAAAAAAAAAAATGAATGCAATTGATAACGGTTTAATTAAATAACTTAACTTAAAGAATTATAGTGATAGTAGATGATTATGGCTAATACCGCGAAGTTGGTTGCATAGCAACCAACTGCATCATGTTGGTGTCTACTTAAAAATTTTACCCGCAAAATTAATTCCGAGCTTGTCAAAAGAAGTTTAACTTCAAAAATATTTTCACAAATGTAAAATGACATGCAACAATTTGCTCATCTCACTCGTTTTACTCGAATTTTAATACACCAAAAAAAGCGGAGGTTTCATTTCGAGATCAGTACGTTCTCATGAATTCGGTGCTTTTGAGCGAGTCACTCCTTGCATCTGCATTTGAAGGGCGCTGCCTGCGAGAGCTTGAATGTTTTATGTGCTTGCAGTTTTGTGTTACTACTTGAGTTCTCTTTTAATAATTACTTGAAGCTGCATTGCGCTTCAAAAGATTTTATGCATTCACGAAACATTTCCTACTATAATACAATAATAAGCTAGTAGAATCTATCCAATTAGAACTAAAATGCATGCTGCCTAAGAACTTTTAAGTCAAGTGTAAAAACAATAAAAGAAGATCGTGTATTAATAATTTATATAAAAATAAAACTATGACCAGCGCAAGCTTAAATTTATGTAAAGACCATAAATTTAAGGGGGTTACATTATATTTTAGCTGAGCATCATTGATACTAAAACATATTTTTCATACTCATTTCACGGCACATATGACGTCGGTGGAACATCATCGTAAAACTACAGCGTGTTAAACATGTACAGTAAAGTTGACTCTAAAACGAGTTGAGGTGCAAAGCAATGAATACGCCGGCTACACTAATGCTACGATAAACCTACGCAGCTCCACTACGGCGTAGTGAGTTACGGAAAAAGCGTAGCCGTAAAGGTTAATTGGGCGGAATACAAACTCGGCTATAGTAAATAGTGTACAACAATTGAATATAAATACGGTACAAATAGGAGAGAAGTTTGCGTATTATATTTCATGTGGCACACAAATAGCAAATGTTTGTGTTGGAAAACATTGACTATAATATTTCATGACATTTTCTATGAATCCTATAAAAAGTGTTTTATATAAGGATTTTGTATTACAAACCAGTTATTTTTAATGAACTAATTTACAGATTTTATCGCGTTTTAATTTTGATTTTTAATTCCCGACCCTTGCCAACGTTCATGGGACACATTCGAACATTCGTTTCAACGTGGTCATGGGACAGACAGAGTTGTTCCACGATGTCAAAATTAACCCGGGCTATCGTCAATTATTTTATTATTTTTATTCCTATAAACGCAAAAAAAATGAAGAAAAATTAACAAAAAATAAATAAAATCAAGAAATCAAATACGAACCAGTAAGTCATTGACTATTTACTGACTAATGGTTATTGAATGTGGCACATTTTCTGATATATGGTTAAATCTTAAAATAAATTTATGTATAGAATGAACCCATAATACATATACAGCGTGTCGCTACCATCGCGACAATAAATTAACAAACATATAGGGGATAACTTTTTTAAAGTTGTATTAAACATTTAAATTCTTTAAACATCAATATGAGTTATTAAATTTTCCAAAACAAAGAATTTTAGAACACCCTTACCTATAAAAGCGTAACGTAAAGTTCCTTTTTAAAGGTCACAAAGCATATGAATGGGTTGAATGAATTTAAAAGAGACAAAACATACTGTTAGAAGGAGAGGCTTGTAATGCGACGCTGTGGCGCGAGTTGTATAGGTGTTACAAATTTTGTTTCTTTTTTACTTAATTAGTTTGTTTGAAAAATATTTTTTTTTAACTATGGATTTTTTTAACGTTAATATTTTTTTATGATTATTGGCAAGTAGCGTTTGACGTGTGTTCATTTATTGTCGCGATGGTAACGACACGCTGTATATGTAATAAAATAAGACATCGTTGCCGACAGCAAATTTCTTGTTTTTAAAAATCTATTATATTTTGTATGTCGCTAAAGTAATTAATTAGGACCGTTTAATTGCAGATGAGAATTGCCGCTACACGGAAGCCTCAAGAGTTCACTGACCCAGTTTAGCGCGGTCACCAACCTTATAATTGCATCTTCTAATCTAAACACCTAATTGATAGAATGAAATACTCAAACCCGGGACAAATTAATACTCGTTTAATATGCAATTCATCGGTAGTTCATCCAACACTTAGTTCTAAATAACAATTAACAATTACGCAAATTTAATTCGTTCGTTACATCAAAACTCTAATTCCAAAGTTTGCCCGACCAAGAGATGAAATATAATTTTTTTTAATGTGAAAAGTTCTCATACGACTTCTACACACCTGAGAGCAGATGCGTTGACAACTTTTAATAAAGTAGGCTCGGGGTACCTCTCTAATAAGACGAAACGTGAAAGGAGGCTACTTACACTTCACGCTGGTTTTCTGTGAGGCTGTGGTACTTCTCCGGGTAAGCCTGCTCTAGTTGAGTCTTTTTATGTGAGAAAGTGGCAAACGAGGTGATGGTTCACCTGTTGTGAAAGTGAAAACAGCCGTCCATGGACATTTGCAACGCCCGCAGGGTTGAAAATGTGTCGCCAACTTTAAATAATGTCGGCCCCGGCTATCCCACTCACCCGACGAAACGCGGAAGTGTAACACTTCTACTTTACACCGGTCTCCTGTGAGGTCGTGGTGCTAACCCGGACGGACCTGCCCATTCGAGCAACAGCGAACACTGTTGCGTGGCCCTACCACAGTTATAGTGTCTGCCTCATATAAATAAAACGCGCTTACAAAATACCGGTGTTCTACACTCGTAGCGTTTAAATTATCACACCTACGGCGTAGCCTGGTGCGTTGCCAACTGATACGCGTTCGTTCCGCTATCGTAGCGCTGTGCAGCGTGTTAATTATTCCACCGGCCGCGCAGATATACGACTGCGATCGCTGCCGATCGGTTTAATGGAATGTTTCCTGCAATGAATGCTGCATTATTTCGATTGGGCGGGTATCGAGCGAGTTTTAAATGATTTTTTTTCTCCCTCAAACTCATTGCATTTAATAGTCCTTTTGTGCTTTTTTTCTTTCTCCGTTTACCGCTCTAATATTGCTCGAAGTTTACATTTGGTGCTATAAGCGATGGAAAGCTGAGCAAGCGGATACCTGGTATTGAAGGCCGCCGTTTATTGAGTACTAGCTGCTGCCCGAGACTACATCTCCGTAACGGCTGAGGGCGTAACATTCAGACAGAAAGACAGACATATTAAAAATATGTATATAAATTATAGCCTATGTCTTATTCTGATGTATAAGCTATATTATTGTAAGGTTTCATTAAAATCCATTCAGTAGTATTTGCGTGAAAGAGTAACAAACATCCATCCATACATACAAACTTTTGCCTTTATGATATTAGTAAGGATAACAACACCATATACGTATGTTTTATGTGTACTGCCCGCTATTGAGAATTTGCATGTCTATTTAAGTCAATCTCCAGATGTAAATCGAAATTATAAAGCTGTGAAGGATGGATAAGAATTACCTCGGGCGAGACTATTCGTGTAGGAGTATGAGAAGAGATCATTCTTCTGTGGTAGGGGAACGAAACAGCTTCTGCTATTCCCTGAGCCTCATCAGGGAAGTACAACGCACCCATAAGACCAGCATGAAGTGTGAGTATTACACTATCGCGTTTCGTCTGGTGAGTGATGTAACTGGGGCCCACTTTAGTGGAAGTTGCAACGCATCTGCAATCCTAGTGCTTTTGCAAATGTCACGCTTTTGCCACATAAAAAAAGCGATTCGGACTCGCGCACGAACGGTTTCGGTTCCGTAACATTATCTTATTATTATCATGATAATTGTTTACGATTCTTACTTATCTTTATTGCAGTAAGTATAAATAGGAATCCAAATAGAAGAGAAGAAGAGATCTGTTAATATTAAATTTCCTCATTAAACAATGATTAAAGTAGAATATAAGCGTACACTTCAATTAAGTGCTTTAAAACAGTTAAGCAGTGGCGCTTGGCCGTTTTGAGGCTAAATTTATCCATTATGTTATAACAGAATTGTAATGAAATATGATCGATCCATTGGAGTGCACACAGCTGACCGCAGAGATTCTCTTCAAGGACCTTGTTAGTATTGAAGCTGATACCTTAATGACGAGCGGTAGCGGAGGATATCTAGGTCTTGAGGAAAGCAACTTAGTATATGAATCAATATGTGAGGAGAAACTTTTTGTATTATTAAAGAAGCTTGATTTTAAAGTATTCATAAAACTGAGGATTGGTTATTATTTTTTACAAAAACGGACTTAACTTCTTTATATAATATACCCCGTGGCGCAGTTTTCAAGGTATTGGCTTCAGCGACGGGGGTCGTGGGTTCGATTCCCACTCGAGACAACTACTTGCGTGACCCACAGATAATTATTTCGAATCCACGTCAAATTTATGAATGTTACAACACAGGATAACTTATCCTAAAGTAAGGGGAATGTTTTTATAAAACAAAATTCTAGTGCTAATCTCTGCACTTCCACTTTGTTCAACCAGCCGTTTAGCTTACTGGTTAAAACGTCTGGGCGTGATGCAGGCAGATGCGAGTTCGATTACCGCCGTGGCGAAAAAATTTGTCTACTTTTCTACAAAATTTGAATGTTCTTACGTGCAGAGATTAGCACTATAAAGGCTTAATAAAAAATTATTGAGCCTTTATTTAGGCTTAATTAAATGTAAATTAAACTAGTCGAATAACGATGACATTTTTGTAATAAATAAATTTTGCGCAACTGAAGGTCTCAAAACTAATAATAAAACCTTTTCCATTATAACTAAGACCACAAAGTATGCGTAACCAAGTGAAAGAAAATGATAAAATAAAATAATATATTTACAAAAATAAATAAACAAAAAGTAGTCTTAACGTTAGTTTCGCTGCACTAAGCGACATCCCACAAACATAAACACTAAATGGTCCTCTACACAGTTTGCTTATAGCTTACGTATGACTGTTATTGGCGTTATAAACTGTTCACGACGTTTTATAAACGTGATTTACCTCAAAATGAATGCTCCAGTTTTATTTGACATTTTATTTAATCTCAATTTTCGTTCAGTGCGCATCTTATGATATTTTCATTCCTTATAAATAGAAGCTTTTATAGCTCGCTTTTAATTCAATATATTCGAGCAACTTGAGTTCGCAACCCGGTGCCAGCAAAAATGAAATTGTTATTTTAAGTCATTTAAATTGTTTACAGTGCTAATCTTTGCACTTAAGATTTGAACATTAAAATATGTAGACGAAAAGATTGTCGCCGCTGTGGGAATCGAACCCACGTTTTTGGCATTCGCGGCCTGACGCTTTAACCACCAAGCTAAACGGCCGTTTTCGTTTCTACATATTTTAATTTTATTTTACGTGTTGAATTATCACTAACTCAGCGGCGAAGGAAGATATGAGGAAATCTGCATGCATATTTTCGAAATAGATTGCAGTGGTTTCGTTGAACTATGCCCCGTTACCCTCTATACAGGAGAGTCCTTTAGTCAGCAGTGGAACTTTTATAGGCTGTTACTTTTACCTTATATAGGACACATGTATGCGTATAATGTTTGAAAAACGAAACAAACCAATGTTCCTTATTAGTTGTGAGTTTTCAATACCTTAAATAAAATAAAAAATAACCTTCATCGTTGCAAAAAAATCTCAAACAACTGGTTAGAACACGTCAATCATAATATTTAAAGTAAATTTCCACTCCATCGATGTTGAAGTCGGAGTATACCATTACAGCATCATCGTTAGCGATAAAACTGAGCAGAGCGAATCGTCGAAAAAGCGCCAAACCGCACGCACACGCGAAGTGATTCCCACATCTCGACGCGAAGGTGGCTATTACCAACACGCACGCTATTCCGACAGCACTCGATACGCGCCGCGGGATCGCAATAGTAAATTTCCCACGCGCCATTACGCCGCCGGGCCGTTCGAAAATTCGCCTCCTTTTTTAAATTCAGTTAATATTTCACGTGGCGCCATCTGTGCGCCCGTTTCTTTAGCGCAATTTTATTTCGTTCTATACATAGAATGTACTCAGTATCTTAGATTTTTGATTAAACTAGAATAGCAAAGTCCGTGTAAAAGAAATCATCTCTCCAATAAAATCTTGTTTTTAAATTCGAGATTCGAAGGCCATTTTGAACATGACAATGGAAATTACCAGTTTTGGATATTTTTCGATTATGATAGGTTTATATTGTTTAGCTAGAAGAGTTTCTAGGCCCAGGTCTACAGGTGCGTTAGATTAAAAGTTATCGCAAGGAAAGTCGACAAGCAGATTAGTCCCTTTTGTATTTGGAATCCATTCTCTTCTCAAATATTATTCATTCCTAAGAAGCCAGAATCTAAGTACCTATCGACGTATCCGTTTCATGTTATCGATTAAATGACGACGTCATTAGTCGCGGGCGTGGGCAGAGGTTGAAGAAAGCAAATATACAATGTAAATAACACCAATTTACTTGTCGCCCTGGTTCGGGAAGATTGCTAATGACGTCACCTCCTGTTTGTCCACGATAAAGACGTTTAAGTTATAAGACAAAATGAAAAATTCGATACATAATATATTTTTTTAACATGGCAAAAGCCGTAATACCAATGTCAAATCAAAGTTTCTTTGTTTAATCAAACTGTTCTGTCTACTTAATTGTTCCCTGCTAATATTATTAGAAATATTAATAGTGGAAATGTACTTAAATAAAAAGTAATTAGCGTTCCTAGCACCATGCTGTATGGACTAGATTTATGTATTCATGTAGAGTACATTTATTTAATGTAGATAACATGTAAACAATTATTTATTCACTACTCGTAATGTCACCGATGACACCTGTCGTCGCGTGGTCGTGCCGTGTCGGGTAAACTCCCCCGTTGTCGCGTCGCCTACCTAGCCTACAATTAACGGTCGCGCCGAGTTTTCTTGCGAGCGGGAAATAATTGCGATTGGGTTGCGAATCTCGCTATCTGACGCGCGACGAGCCTTTAATTGGTGCTTAAATGGCGAATTCGCTTCGACGAGAAAGGGACGGGCACCTATCCGTTTTGCGAAACACTAATAATTGGTGCTTTTCGTAAATTTCGCGAGCTGCCGCAATGCGATACGGCGTGTCGTTCGCGTTAATTGAATAATTCTATTACGGTCAACGGATTTGAATACACCATTCGTTTGACTTTGAACTACAACGAAGTCCGGTGTTGTGAGTATAACGATAAAGATACATTGACTGTGTTCATTTAAGCTGATCTCTGAGACGTCATAATGAAGGCAGTTTATTGTACTACCGTGAAAGAATTTTTTATACTTCGTACTCACTGCTCACTGGATAACGGTTACGTTGTAAACGTTAAAGAAACTAGTTCAGTTGCCTCACTCACCAAGCGTAAGGTAAGCGCGTGATTTGTTCTACTTTACACTAATTGTGATCAGCATATCAGCATAATCTACTGCACGGCTCTACCACAGTATTATTATATTAAACGTAATAATGGCAAAAATACCTAGACGAATTTAAAGAACACAAACAAGTACATCTTTTTATATAGAGACGTCGTTATGAAGGCAGTTTATTGTACTACTGTGTAATCTTTATACTTTGTATCGCCAAGGTTTTTTGCCCAACAAACACCTCTTTCAGCTGTCTAGACGCATAAATAAGTACATTTGCTTTAAAATGCGGGCCCGTGGGGTCAGAAACGGCGCGTTGTATAAATCTATGACAGGTTTGCGGACTCTTAAATGTCAAGTGTCGCCTGCACAGCCGTTACGAAGGAGTAGGCTGCAAGGCTTAATTGGTGGCTTAAAAATATAGTTCTTAAAATAGTGAATAGTTACTTCGCTTTGCACGAATGGGCAAGCCCCTATGGGTGAGTACCACAACCTCACAGAAGACCGGCGTGATGTGGAAATGTTACACTTCTGCGTTACGTCTGGTGAGTGCGGAAACCATGGTCCAATTTATTATTAGGTAGGTCTGCGGTAGTGTTACGAAGTACTAACATATTATACAATTGCAGTGTATCGCACCTTTTTTATTTAGATGAGTTCAATACCACTGAACATGTTAATGGCAATGACGCATTTTATGCCATTGTCAATATGGCGTTTTGGAGCCATAATCATCAAAAAGTTTAAGGTATAGATAGACTAACCAAATTAAGGACGATTTTTTATTTTCTATGCATTAACTTAGTACTTTACATAACAATTCAAGTTTTAAATGTGGGCAAAGGCCTCCTCTGTAAAGAGGGTATCAGGCCATAGTCCACTACGCGACCCCACTGCGTATTGGCGGACTTCACATATTTTTCGAAATAATTTTTTTGTTATTATTTCGAAAATATGCAGGCCTCTTCACGATGTTTTTCTTCACCGCAGAGCACATGGTAATTCAGCACTTAAAATTAACAATTTCATTGGTGCTGGCACCGGGGATCGAACTCAGGTTGCTCGAGTAAATGTACGGACACTGAGCTATCACGGCTTGTGTAGATCCATGTTTAATAATTTAAGTATTTTCGCAGTACAGGACTATTGTAGTAAATACATTATTAATTTTAAACGTTTGAATTAAAGTTGAGTGGTTTTAA